GCCTATCACACGGGAATAAAATGAAAGTCAATCCTCCAAATCTTTCATTTTAAAATGACTGGTCAAAATAAGGGTAGCTCAATTAATTCTTTACCCGCTGCAGCGCCTCCTGCTGCTCCGGGGTGAGCGGCGGCAGGCCAAGCTTAGAGCCTGTGCCCTGTCCATTCTCCATCGTCATAACGTCACCTCCCTGTAAGAAATTTAAATCAATAAAATTTCAAAAGAACTTGATGATAAACATATTTTTCAGATGACTAATATATTTACTACATATTTTTATTGCGAGGTGTATTTAGAAAATACATATTCAACTGAAATCTGATTAAAATCAAGTAGTGATTTTTTCAATAATTATACTCAATATTTAATTTGCAAAAATCAAGTTTAAAATAAAAACAAATCCGTTTTTTTTTTTTGCCTCTCTACCGTTATATTTATTCCTAACCACACATTTTCAAAACTTACACAGTGTTGGTTCATTCTCATCTTTTGAACATTTCCTGCTGAGGTGCATGTGGACAATTTTAAGTCAAACAATGGGTGTACACGATTAACGGATTATCAAAAATGATTAATTTGATAATCGATTAGTTGTCAAATAGCAGATTATCTGTTACATCTCTAGTGTCGTTTAAATGAATGCATCTTACTTTATACACAGGTGCCTAAATCTGTACATTGTATGCACTGCTAGGTTTGGCCTGAACGATAAATGCAATTTAACGAGGCGTTTGAAGGCATCGACAGGAAATTAATGAGGATTTGTTAGAATTGTGGCCTTACCTACCAAACCCGTCTAGCGTTGGCTCCACCAAACTGAGGAAGAAAAGCCCCGAGGGGGGTGGGGGGTGATGGGGAAGCTTCAACGACTCAACAAATTCTAAAAGGGTGAGGGGTAAAAAAAAAAATTTAGACAACAGAAAGGAAGAAAGCGGCGCCTCGTCGAAATTACGACCCAAAAATAAAATGTAGTGTGCGTTAACGTTAGCGCGGTGCTAACGCTGGTCTTCATTCAAAGCATGGGATACAAAATGGGCAAAATGCTCACACTTAGCTGAACGATACTCAGTCCAAGATCGTTGAGGATGTTAAACAATGTGCACAAACTGTAAATATGACGTAAAAACGATAAAATGGCCAGGACAACATTTAGGCCCAGATTCGGATGGCTCCCATTGATGTTAGCTTATTAGCAACCGCTAGCAATTCATCACAATGGCGCGCAAAGCAAAGCGCATTTCTTGCCCGCTGAAAAAAAACACAGCATCCCTACAGATACAACAACTCGACAGAAAGAGAGTATTCGCACTTGTTAAACGACGTCCGCTTGAGTAGAAATGTGATTAACAGACGAAGTTTGTCGACGACAAAGAATTACCGCAGTCTCCGTGAGCGCCATGAAGCACACCTCCCTGGAGATGGAGAGGCCCTCGCTCAGGAACGATCGCGAGACTTGGAGGAGTTGCCATACAATCTCGCGATAGGATAACCCTAGTGACGTAAAGGAGCGAAAGTCGTGCGGAGCGACACACGCGCACACAAAATTGAATTTATTAAACATATATGACACACAAAATACATCTTTGACTTCCTTTCTTCCTCCCTGTTTTTACTCTCTTTACTTCCACCTTTTCCTTGCTGACTCTTTCCTTTGTTGCTGCCTTCCTGTCTTTCCCGTTTGTCCTCTTTCGTACCTTCCTTCCTTCAGACCCTTTTTTCAGGTCATCTTGTATCATTATAAACTCTTCATGTTTTTATATTATTCTTACATCCTTAATTCTATTCTTCCTTTGTCGTTTTCTGCCGTTGTTCCTACCTTCCCTCTTTCTGCCTTCCTTCCCGTCAGACCTGCTTTTCTCCCTGGGACTCTTTTACCTTCCAAACCTCTTCAGTTGTCTCATGGTGGCTTTTCTTTCTTCCATCACAGCCGTATTTTCTATTCCTGCGTCCTTTACAGCCTTCATATATAAATAATAGACTTGATCAGTATGTCACAAGTTTATTTATTTAACTGCCAATGCTACAATATATTACAAATGCTTAAGTAGAGCACATCCAAAGGCAAGTTTCATTCAACAGCCTTGACTGATAAGACCAATATGAATGTTTTTTTTTAATCATTACTGTATCATGTATGCAAACATTCACAATCACTCCCCACCTCCCTCGAACTGAACTGTTATTGACAAAGGCAATATGCAAAGTTTTGAATGCTTGCAGGCTTTTTTTTTTAAGACATGCAGCCTACAAGATGGTAGAAGAGCAAGAGTGGCACTCTTTCACATGGGAGTAGGAGCCACAATAAACTCTTTACCTAAAAGCCACATAGAAATATACTCCACAGCCTGTATGGAAGGTAAATATCCGGGAAGATTCTGTACTCCCGTCCGCAGAGATAAGCAAAAGTAAAACTCAAAGCAGTCACTATACAGCAGTCTGTTATTAAAATGGGAATTTACAGAACAAAGACAAAACAAGTGAAGACAATTTACAAACAATGTAGAATTGTAATTGGAAAAAAATATCTACTCAAAATATTATTGCTGGAAGCAAAAACATTGAATTTACAATACTTGACATGTCTATCGCATGTTACGTTTTCGTGTCAACATTCTACAGGAATCACAATCAAAATTAAAATTGGACGGGTCTCCGCAATGTGTTTTTTTTTTTCACTTTGACATCTACATTAGGTTCAGATTGGATCTTATCTGTGTGGATTTTCTTGTATGAGCCCTGCAAGTGGCCCAAAATGTCTGACCTCTTGTTCAATTTTGGCCATGGGTCCTTGAAACCTTATTGTGCACCCAGCTATGATAGAAATGTCCACCAAATTTCGTGCTGAGGGTGAAACTGGTGGTAGGGGCAGATTTTTTTTTTTTTAATGCCCCTTTCCTTCCAACTTTGCCAGGCCCCTTCCACGTCAAATGTAATCCAAAATGGCCGCCTCAAACCAAAATGGACAACTTCCTGTTTGATTTCAGGCATGGGTCCATGAGACTTTTTCGTATGTTCTGTTACAATAGACACGTCCAGCTAATTGGTTGTTAACAACTCATGTCGGGGGCTATTTTTTTTCTAACTTTCCAGTGGGGGTCACTACTGAATGAATTTTGAGGGGATGTTTTTAGCACACTGAAAAAACATACATATTCACCAGTACACACACACACACACACACGCACGCACGCACGCACACACACACACACACACACACACACACACACACACACACACACACACACACACACACACACACACACACACACACATAAATTGACTTTGGGCATGTTAAGGCCGTTGAAAAGAAACAGCGATTATAAGAGGGGCCCTAATAATAAATGTTATGCATATATTAGCAGTATTGTACTAATTGCTATGACTATCGGAAACAAAAACAAAAATAGAAATGTTGACAGATTATTACTTCTCGCCGACATGACAAACTCGATGGGGCAACAGAAAAATAAACCAAGAGTTACATTGGTGACAAAAAAAAAAAATCACAATTATTTGGATTAAGCCGACTGCATGATTTTAAGTAAGAAGTCAAAAACGATATTTACATCCAACGCACACGAACCAAGAGTCAAGTAGAAGTTCATTTGCACATTCGTATCAGGGGCAGAGCTCGTAGCAACTGACAGCAAAAGGTAATGCTTTTCCACCATCTTGTGGCATCTCTTGGCAATTTTTCGACCTTTTTAACTGGGCTGTCAATGATTCCTGGATGAGGTGGGGACCAGTGCACTGATGCTAAATGACCTCTTCTATCAGTCATTGAGATACACTTCAATCCAATCCCAATTAGCCTGAACTCCATTTTGTGTTTTCTTGCCGTATCAGGCACTTTGCAGCAAGTCTTTGGCACTCGGAACATTTGGAGTGAGGAGGGGGCGGGAAAGCCCTTAAGAGAACCGCAGGCTAAAAAGAGAGGCCGTGGGAACAAGTAGAAGGAAGCGCAGTGTGAGAATTATTAGAGAGCCCGAATGACAACCTTGTGCGTTGCTTCTAAGTAATAAATAAGTCCACAGTGAATGAGTTTTAACAGTGCAAGATGGATGGAGTACTTAATTTAAAAAAAAAAAAAAAAAAAAAAAAAAGAATAATGGCCGGTCATGATGG